TAACAGGACCCCACACATCAGAATGAACAATGTGAAAAGAAAATTCAGATTTATTATTTTTTAAAAGAAAATGAGTTCTACACTACTTACTCAATTGACAAGTTTGACAAGAGAAATCTGAAACACACTGACTTAAACAATTCTAGAAACACCACTTTCAAAGACTCAAAAGATAAATGACCAAGACAACAATGACATAAATAAACTTGACTCTTACAGGACTGACTCTTAGACTCTGTGACTTGAAGACCAACCTTATTCTCCAGTATGTAAAGTCCACCAACCATACATCATCTACCAATCGTCCTCCCCGAGGCTAGATCCTAGATCACACAGTAAGAAGGGAAAAAGGTCATCGAGCAGTTTAAGGAATTAGTAATACTACTAACAGAGAACAAATTAATGGGAAATTTCGGAACATGTAAAACATCAAAGAGGGTAAGGCCGAGAGGGAGAGAAATGGTTCCTTGACCAGCTATGGTAGTGTATGATCCATCAGCTAATCTTACCTTGTCTCTTCCAGAAAGAAGGTGATAGGTTTGAAAGTAAGAGGACGTACCAATCATGTGTTTTGACGCTCCAGAATCAATGATCCAAGGAGTGTCAGGATTATGAGAAGCAACATGGAAAGATGTAGCAGTGTTACCTGATGTAGACGCAAATAAAGTTGAGGGAGGAGCATCCATCTGACGAATTGCTCTACCATAGAGCTCTAAATGGTCACGGAAGGAATTTATAATATCCTCCCTTGTGTCAAATCCAGATGAATGTGTCTGAGTCACAGTATGAATGGGGGGCTGATTCTCCTGAGTAGCCATGTTTGCCATAGTGTGTTTTCTTGTATCTTGTTGTCCTGACTTTTTATTCATATCTGAACCTTGCTTCTTATTCAGATCTTGAGCCCATTTCGGCTTCCCATGAAGATCCCAGCATGTGGCTCGGGTGTGTCGGGGTTTTTGGCAATGAGTACACCACAATTTGTCCTTGTCATCCATCTTTTTCTAAAGATCCCCCTTCTTAGAAGTATTTCCCCCATCGGTAGTAACACTCCCTTTCACTGTCAATACAACTGCATCTCCTCCAGAACTATTCATCAGATTCCTTTTGCTTTCTTCTGATTGTACAAAAGCATAAACTTCTTGAACTGATGGAAGATCTTTGCTACCTAGGATCTAGGCTCTGATAGATTCATATGTAGGGTTCAAACCATGTAAGAAAGCAAACACTCTCTGTTGGGAGACAAGTTTTTTGTACAATTTTGCATTTTCATCACACTTCTAGTCCACACTCTGATAATGATCTAACTCCTTCCAGACAGAGGTCAAGTCTGAGTAGTACACAAATAGACACCTCTCCCCCTGTTTACAAGTAGACGATTCTGCCTGTAGCTGGTAGATTTTTGCATAGTGTCGCAATTCTAAATATGTTGATTTTGCTTGTTCCCATATCTCATTTGCCGTTACAGCTCACATGAAATTTCCTTCTTATTTGAGGTTGCATAGAAACTAAAAGCCAAGACATGACCATGCTGTTTTCCTGGTTCCATCTGTCATATTCAGCACTCCCAGAATGTGGTTCTTTGATTCTCCCATTAATATAACCTACATTTCCCCTTACAGTGATGTACAGCTTGA